GGAAGGAGCCACCAGCCTGGGACAGGCAGGCTCACCTACAACTGGGCCTGCTTGCTGGCCCCAGGGTGAGCTGGCTCTGGAGTTGCTGGCCCTGTAGCACAGTCACGGGAACCCCTTGGAGGGCAGCCAGACCCCCTGGGTCCCACTGTGCTGCAGGGCCCCATAGGGCCCCCCCAGCTGGTGGCACCTCCTGCTCAATATGCAGGGTTCATGTCCTCACAGCACCTCGGGGACTGAGCATCACCAGTGGCACAGGCTGGCCCCCAGTGCTCCATCCTGGCACAAGGGTGATGCTGGTCCTGGTGGGGTCACCTGGCAAGGACAGTGCCAGCCCACAGCCCCCCCTCCACACCCTCCAAAATAGCCTGGCTTCCGCCCCCACGGCAGCTGCCTGCTGCCAGCTCCCCGCTGCCCACGGCTGATCCCGGGGAGGGAAGGGGGGCAGGCGATTCTAATCCCCCCTGGCCCCCCCGAGCCCACACAGCACTGACAGTGAGGCCGTGCCTGCCACAGCCACTCCAACCCACACAGCGCCGCTGAGGAGACCCCAGCCAGCCCTGCAGCAAGGGCAGGGCAATGCCCCACGGCTCCACAGCGCAGCAGGCACGGAACGCCTCTGTGGAGCCCCTCTGTGGGACATGGACTGTCCCCAGGGCCCACCTAGGGGACATTGCAGCACTCCAGCTGCCTTGTGCCACCCAAGCAGGGCACAAGGGTCTCTTCCCTTCTCTTCCTTGGCACAGCAGTGGGGCTGACAATGCTCCTGTGCACCTTTGCTATGGCCAAGCCCTGTGCCCTGATGGTTGCCCAGGGGAGGGGAATCAAAGCAAAACTGCTGGGGTGTCACTGTACCAAACAAATGTCAGCCAGCACAGCCACATTCTCCACCCTCCTGGTGTTCAGTGTAGGCAGTGCCTGGCATCCACCTTGCCTGAGACCCTGGTGGCAGGACCCCCTTACCCACTCCCCACTCCAGCTGCTGCCCACAGGACCTGGGGACATGACAGAGACAGCTGGGCAGAGTGGAGCACGCAGTGCAACCAAGGCTGCCGGGAGAGGCCAGAGCTCTGACCTACTTCTCCTTCCGCATCACCTGCTTTCATTTTCCCTCACCCGGGCTGGTCCCCCTGCCTGCCCAGGGCTCCATCAGGTCATGCCACTAGCTCTGGGGATACAAGTCACCCAGGCACCACACTCCCACACACCACCCTGCATGTCAACTGAGCTCCCCAGCCCTGGGCACGCAGTATGCCCGGGTGCACTGAAGGTCACTGGCCACAGCCCCGGCCCCACCACCTCCCCTACCTGCATGGCTACCCAAGCGCCATCTTCCTGGCACGAAGCGAGTTTGACGGGTCTCAGCCCAGCCCCTCGCCAAGTCCTCTGACTGCCCTGGGGCTTGCTGGGGTGTGGACATGCAGCTCTCGGGGCATGTCAGGGACGCCAGCGCTGCCACGGGGAGCCAGGCGGGCGCCAATCCTCCAGACGGGGCGGCCGCTCCCACCGGCACCCTGCCTGCTCCCGCCGTGGAGTTACCATGGGAAGGCAGTGGCGGTGGCGCAGGGGGAGCGCAGGCTCCCGGGGGCTCCCGCCAGCAGCCCACACGCTGCCAGGAGAGATTTCTCCCTGGTTTCATCATCCGCTGCTTGCCCTGAAGGAGAAGTTCCTGCTTCGCGCACGGGGCAGCAGCCACCCCTGGAGGGCCGGGGCGCAGCAGGGGCTCGGCCGGTGCCGCAGCCCCGCTGCGCCCCTCCCGCCCCGTGCGCTCCGGCCGGTCGTGCTCGTGCCACGTGTGCACTGAGGGTGCACGGCAGCAGCTGGCACAGCCGTGCTGCCACAGCCTCGGGCTCAGCGCCGCAGCGCTGGGGGCAGCCTGTGCCCAGGCAGGGGGTCTCCGAGGGTCTCCAGGACCCGACACGGATATGCCCCCTCACACACACCTGTCACCTCCCTGTGCTCACCTCTGCACCCATCCCCGGCATAGACACTCCTAGCCCTACTGCTCCACGCTCTCTGCTGCGCCAGTTTCCCTTTCTCCATGCACCCACTTTAAGTTCCTGAGCCCAGTCCCTCCCTCCGCACCCAGCACCAGCATCACCACCGAAGCCTTGAGTCGCTGCAGCTGCCGCGTGCCTCCGGCAGTGCCGGGGATCCCAGGCTGCTCCCCGCTCCTACCAGCCCGGCTGTGCTGGGGGAAACCGAGGCACGGTGCGACTCACCCCACGACAAAACTGGCACTGTGTCCCCTCGCCAAGTGAACGAACTCACGGATCGAGGGCGGCTGTGGCCCAAGACGTGGATCTGCTCCGGCGGGAGGGTAAATACCGCACCCCGCCCCGGGCAAACAGCGGCCGGGGGCAGCCAGCCAGGGGGACGAGGACAGGTACGGCAGGGCTGGGCGCACGGGGCAGAGTCCACCGGTGCTTGGCAGGTGCTACCATGACACCGATCCCGGGGGACCACTGCACAGCCGAGCCGAGGCACTCACTGCTGCTGCCAGTGTGCCAGGGCCGGGGCTCACCAGCGTGGCACAGCGTGCTGGAACACTGGCATACCCTCCAACTCTACAACACCGGTGCAGAAGGGGCTCTCCGAGTTGCCTTCCTCCGGCAACGGTGCCGTCCCTACCCAGTGCACCAGGCATGCCGCCAAGCTGCTCACCAGGTTAGGAAGGGGGGATGGCAGACCCGGTCACCCGTGGGAGACCTGCGGGGGACCCTGGCTGCATGGAGCAGCACCGCAACAGGAGCACAGTGGAGCCTTGGCAGCCGCCCCGACACGCAGCGGAGACCTGCCGATGTCACAGATTTCCCGCAGCCCCGTGCGCAGGGACAGAGAACAGCCCACGAGTGACACCCCCCGCCCCACGGGCGACGTGTCCACCGGCTCCGGCGGCGGGCGGGGACAGAGGGGCCGTGCAGTGATCCGCGCGCCAACCGTGCCCACCCGCTGCCCGCAGCATCCCAAATCAACGCGACTCACCGCAACCGGGCGGCAAAAGCGGTCGCCGCACCGGTCCCCGTCCCGATCCCGCTGCCTGTGGGTCGGTACCTCTGCGCAACCCCCGCCGGTGGGTCTGTCTGCTCCCACCCACTGCCGCTCACCTGAGCACCCCACCCGAGCCACAGACCGGTCCCGGAGCCACGGCCCCGCCTCCGCCTTCACCTGCCGTGGCCGCGCCCCGCCCGCCCCCCGGCCACGGCCACTGCCACTGCCACTGCCGCTGCCGCTGCCGCCGCCGGGGCTCCAGGAAGCGCCCGCCCCCGCCTCCTCATTGGGCAGCGCGCCGGCGGTCGCGCGTCCCATTGGTGGGGTGCCCCGCCCATCAGCCCCGCCCCACCCCCCTCGGGAGGGCGGGGGTCTTACGGGCTCCCGGGACCGGGGTGCGCGGGTGGGGGGCGGCTGAGTCAGAGGCGGTTAGCGGGATCGGCGGGGGTCGGCCCCCGGCCTGGGCCGGAGAGCACGAGACGGCCCCGCTGCAGCCCCAACCGGCGCCGAGTGCGGTGCCAGGCGCCGAGCGCGCCCCGCCCGCTGCGGCCGCCGAGTGCCGGGGCCGGCACGGTACTGCCCGCTCCGCCCCACGAACACGGGGGGCGGAGAACCGGGCAATGGGGGGGTAAGAACCGAGAAGTGTGCACCGAGGGAGAGTTTCGAGTGCCGGGCACGGGAAACCGTGCGTAGGGTGAGGTACGGGGGGTGGAGAGCCGGGCTCGGGGAACCGGGCACCAAGGAGTGGGCACCGGGATGCTGGAGTGCCGGGCACGGGGGGATGGAGAGCTGGACACGGAGAACTTGGCACCGCGGGGTGCCGGGCAGGCGGGGGCGCGGAGGGGCGCGGCGCAGGGAGCAGCTCCCGGTTCTCGGCGGCGCTGGAGCGGGGCGAGGCGGCCCCCAGCGAGGTGGCTCCTTCGCAGGTGCCTGGGCGCGGGCCCCGCGCAACCTGTTTGGCCGCTGCCGGCTCAGGGAGGCAGCGGCGGCCCCGGGGCTCACCTCGGCTCACCCCGGCCCCCCCGCGCCTGGCTCCGAGCGCGGCCACTGCCCGGCGCTAGCGGAAAGTGTGAGGAGCCACCGCCGCTCCGGGGCTGCCAAGGCAAACACGGCTCCGCGCAGACGTTATGTCAGTGGGCGGGGGGGCCGCGCCGGGACACCGTGCCGGGGCCGAGAACGGGACCCCCACCCCTTCGCCAGGCCCCGGTACCGGGCACCTGCCGCCGCGTCTCGCTCAGCCACCCGCTTCGCTCCCGCCAGCTCCGTCCCTCTGACCGTCCACCTGCATCCCCGTGGAGGATAACGGCCCGCCAGGCTCGGGGCTTCCGCGGGGCGGAGGGGGGAACTCGCGGAACTACCTCACCCTCCGCGCGGCTGCCGCCGACCCCCGGATCCATCGCTCCCGCCCGTCCCCTCGGGCCACGGTTCGCCATAGCCGCTGCGCTCTGCCGCTGCCCGCGGCTGTGCTCGCGGCGTCTCTCTCTCCCTGCTTCCCCCGAGGCGACACCGACGGTGCGGCCGCACTCACCTCTCTCGGCGGGGCCAAGACCGGGGCCGGGCGGGGGCCGCGGGCTCAGCCGGGCCGGCGGCGTGGCAGGAAGGACCGGGTGGTCATCGCGGCCCGCGGCAGCTGCCTGCAGAGGGCACTGCTGGTTCCCGGAGCCGAGCCCCGTGGGCGGCACCGATACGCGCAGGGACACGGCGTCTCTTGGTGCCGGTGGCACCGTTTATTTAGGTTAAAAACAGCAGACACGACTCGGGCAATCCGGGATCCCCTCGGCTGCACTTGCTCGGGGCTCCCCCATGCTGCCAGAACGCTTGAAGGACCCCCCGGGCCTGGGACCTAGCTTGGATATGCCTGAACCAATCCCCACCCACGGGGGCTCACCTGCCCCCCCCCATTCCACCTGCCTCACACCTATCCAGATGCTCTAACCTGCCTCACACCTATCCAGATGTTCTAACCTGCCCCACACTCCAGCTGTGCTCACCTGCCCCACCCCCCAGCCATACCAGTTTACTCTTGTCTGCAGTGATACCTAGGCCCACAGCTCCCTCCTTCTCCCCACTCCCTTCCCTCCTGTTCCCCCTGTGCCCACCGGCCCTGGCTGCCACCCCCCCAGGCCTGGCCTTGACAATGGGGACTCCTGCCCCTGACAATGGGGACTCCTGCCCCATGCTTTGCTTTTTTAATAAAAATAGATAAATTAATATAAACTTAAACATTAAAATAATAAAATTATTTAAAATACATTAAATAGTGCCCTGCATCACTAAGAGCCCCATGGCTGGGGGAAGCAGGTGCTGGCAAGGTGGTGACCCGTGCAAGGGGGGCATTGCATCCAGTTAGCACTGAGGCAGAGAGTCCCCAGAGCCAGGATGATCCTGCTCCAACACAGCCCTGGAAGACACAGGCTGAGGAACAGTAGAAGGGCCCCCCAGCTTGTGAATCTGCTTTTGGGGAGCTCCCTGGCACCCCCCACCAGCCCCAGCCTCAGTGTGGCTGGTTCAGCAGGACCTCAAGCCAGCATGGGCAGGAGGTGATGAACTGCCGGGAGTAGCAGGGTCCCCAGCCCTTGGCAAAGCTGATGCGGATACTGTGGGGGTCACAGGGTCCCTCCCCAGGTAGCTGCCAGCCCCCTCTGTCCCCTGCCCACTCATAATCGAACACCTTTGCCGAGTAGCCAGGCAGCACCTTGAGGACAGTGAGCCCGCAGGCACCAGGGGGGCTCAGGGTGGGCGAGCTGATGAAGATGGGGTGCTCACTGCGGTTGTACGCCCAGACACCACCTGGCTCCTGGCTCAGCAGCAGCCCCCGGCCAATCTTGCCACGTGCCCGCCGGACAGCACAGCTGCGATAGGCAGCAGGCAGCTGGGCCAGGCAGAAGCCACTGCCCCACGGCAGCTCACAGAAGACGTTCACTGATGCCTCGTGCACGGCGTAGAGGCGGCCCACGCGTGTCCGGTACTCCCAGTAAGCCAGTTTGCACCAACAGCCGTCCTTGATGGTGCTCCATGAGAGACTGGTGTCTGGCAGAGGAGAGCAGAGCTGTCACCACCAGGACATGAGTGAGCCAAGCAGCTGGATGGGCCAAGGGGAGTGGGCAGAGAGGGCATATGAGGACAGATAGATGGACATGACGCACCAGGGATGCCTCAGCACAGAGTCCTGCACTGGGTGTGAGCCGCTGGAGCTCTTCCCAGTCCCCAAGTACCGTGGTGAAGGGGTGGGGGAGGGCTGTGACGGGGGTTGGTCCCTGAGTGCAGGGGAAGGTGGGGCAGTGGCAGCTGGTGGCCTTGGTGGCCAGCAGCCAGGCAGGAGCTGGGGCTGTGTGCGTCAAGGCACATTGTGTGTGTCCCCATAGGCAGCGCTTCCTCCAGCAGGGAGCCTGGCGCTGCCAAAAATAACAGGAGCTTCAGTGGCGGGGGGGCGTCTGGGCCCAGACTGCTCCCCCAGCAGGAACCCTCATCCCCTGTCGGAGTCTTTTCCTCCTGCTGGGAGTGACTGCTGGCTCCATTCCCTGATTTTCATGATCTGTCCCCTCCAATCTCTGTTTCTGACTCAGGGGTTCAGCCCTGCCCAGTGCCCTCCTGCCTGCTGGGTGTGGCAGAGGGTTGTGGAGCGTGATGGGTCCATCTTACCACACCAGTCCCCACCGTTGTAGCTGAACTCCATGAGCTGGGTCTCATCTGGCCATGAGGGACCACAGGATGCCTTCAAGTATGGGGGTGGCGGGGTTTCTGCAGGGGAGAGAGAAGGAAATAAGAGGTTGGCAGTGCATCCTGCCCTCGCCCCCCAAGCCCACTGTAGCCTCTGAGCCAGCCCCAGAGAGCAGGGGTCAGAGCCTGAGTGGGCGAGGCAGCCTCCAGTGTTGCTGCCAGCACTCACCAGGTACAGCCAGGCGGCTGAAATGATGAGGGTTGCAGCACAGCACAGCCAAGTCCCCACAGGCCCCCTGGCCCCCAGCGCAGTAGCAGAGGTGCTTGAGCTCATGGGACTGGTGGAGGTCAGGCCAGCGGAAGAGGCGACAGAGCAGGACTTGAGGAGGGAGTCCCTGCTTGACCCCTCGTGGGTCCCCCCGTGGTGCCAAAACGCAGCCAGACTCCCAGGCGCCCTGGCTCTCCACCACCTGCACCAGCAGCTCCAGCTCCTCATCCTTCAGCTTCTTGAAGAGGGCATGCACCGCTGGTTTGAGGGCACCGGGGCCATCCTCGGCGCTGGCTGCTGCACAGCGCTGCTGCCACAGCCTCCGCACCAGCCCAGCACGGCGTGAACGGAACATGGGGTGGTCGTGGGGACCACCTGCAGGATGGAGACAGGCATCACCCCCCGTGCCCTCCGAGGGCTGTGGCTCCAGGGGGTCCCAATGGGGACCCTGTGCATCTTCCCGTGTCCACCCAGATCCCTGGCAAGGCTACTTTGCCTGGATTTGCTGCTGTCATCCCCACCCTGAGGGCACAGTGCCGCTTCAAGGCATACTGGCCACATGGTCACATCAGACATGAGCCCAAAAACAACCCTCACTGCTGGGGAACCTGCCTGTGCTCAGACGGCGAGGGCAGGGGTCCATATGCTCCTGCCCACAGCACCCACCCACTCCCCTCTCACCCCCCCCATCATGGGGCTGGGACAGGGGTCCCTGCAGAACGGGGTCTCACTCACGGTGGGTGGCAGAGGTGGGCGAGAGGCTCCAGGGCACTGCATGGGGCTGTGCTCTCAGGGCGGCCGGCACTGCTCTGCCCGTCACGCGTCACTGCCTGGACTTTTTCCTGTGCTGGGACACTCTCCCCTCCCCCGGACCTTCCCATTTGGGGAATTCATTGATTTCCCTCATCCCAGCCAGCCCTGGAGCTAAGCCACCGCCAGGGTCACCACACCAGGATATGGCAGGCACAAGATCCATGGGCTCCAGTGGTCAGGGATGCCCACTTGGTAGTACCATGCTACCAAGGCAGCTGGGCACAGCCAGGAGCCCAAAAAGCCCCATGGACACCAGCGCACAACCACAGAGCAGGGTCCAGCTGAGCAGCTGATCTGAGCATGGGGAAGCAATGAGGCACAGTGGCAGGGCACCGTCATGGCAGACCCCATCCCTACTCGTGTCCTTACAGAGACTACTGCAAGAACCACCTAAGCCCCTAGTGGCATCTTAGGCAAGGGTTCCTGTTGCCCCTCAGTTCTTGACCTGGCTAGGGCCCCCCCGCGGGCAGTGGGTGAGGGTGGGAGCCTGCTCCATAACAAAGGAGCTAATGTAAACGGGACCCTTATCCTGCGCCGGGCCAGGCTTCCTGCTCCTGACTTCCCGCCGAGATAAGGGAGGCCACACTGGCGCCACTGCTGCTGCCGAGGATGGGGCATGCAGAGCTTCCCCTGTGGTGGGGCCAGGCACCAGCACAGGCAGCAATGGGGCAGGGTGGGCTCACAGACCCACAGCCACCCTTTGGTGTTACCAGCCATGACCTGTGCTGCAGCTCCATTGGAGATATTTTGCTCTAGCTGCTTCCCACAGACTGAAACAGGAAACAGCCAGGAGTGGGGGAGCAGACAGGAGATGCAGGCGGAAACCCCAGCTCCCCACTCTTTCCCCTTGGCTCCAAGGGACATGGGACCCTCAGTCCTGGACAAGGGCAAGGGGTGCACTGGAGTGCCTTAGTGCTACCCAGAGCTAGGATCAGAACGTTTGGAGACACACACACACACACTCCCAGAGCTCTGCCCAAACAGATGCAGCCAGTCAGGTGCTGCTCAGGTTTATTAGGGTCTCTGATCGGGGGAGTGCAAGCTGGAGCAGTCTCGGTGCCAGAGGTCCATCAACTCCATCAGCACAGGGCAACAAGCATAGTCCTGGGGAGAGAGGCACAGGGGTAACAACCCACTGACCAGTACCAAGGCCACACCCTCTTAACCCCCAGAATTGCCACAGCCAGGCTGTCTCCCCTCAAACACCACAGCCAGGCCCTTTTTTACTCCAGGAGCACCATGGCTGGCTTCCGTCACCCCCAAACACCACAGCCAGGCCCCGGTCACGTTCCAAGCACTATGTCAAGTCAAGCTGCAGGCAGATCACTCACCCCACAGCACCAGGGCAGGCAGGGGCTGATGGGGTCCTGCAACACTGCGGGGGCCTTCCCTAGTCCAGCAGCTCACGGATGCACCAGCTGCAGAGAAGGAGGTAGATGCATTTCCACAGAAGCCGCAGGATCCAGGAGCCCAGGCGCAGCCCAAGGGAGGTGGCAGTGGGTGCTGGCAGTGCCAGTGCCTGCACCCGTGCCACTTGCTGGGGAGCACCCTGTAGACAGGCTGCCATGCTCCAGAAGAGGTGCATGGCCCATGAGGAATCAGCAGGATCTGACACAGTGGGAGAGGCAGCAGTGCTGACATGCGGGGCCCTGGCAAGCACTGGAACCTGCTACATTCTCCACGTTTCCAAAACTACAATAGTGGGTGCAGGGAGGGGTACAATCTGGGGACCCTTTTGTTCCTCCCGCTCCTGCCCTGTGGAGCTCTCAGGGCTCAACAAGACCACGTGCCAGTGCAGTGCAGACTGCAGCAGGTTTATTTAGTGCTGACAGGCAGCAGCTTTATTCAGTGTCACTCCCAGCAGCATTCCAGTGGAGGCTCCCAGAGCATGGCCTTCACTGGCGAGAGGTGCGCTCTTCTTCCTCATTTTCCAGCTCATAGGCAGGCCGGTAGCTCTCCCGGCCCTGAGCATCAGTATAGCACAGGGCTGGGTTCTTCTGTGTGTTGGTCATGCTCCCCAGGGATGTGTAGCTGTGGAAGGAAGAAGCAGCTGCAGGACTGCACCCAGGGCCACTGGCTGTGCATGCGAGAAGGCAGCCCTGGGCACTCACCCCTTGTCATAGAGGATACAGTAGGGGACAAAAAGCTTGCGCAGGAATTCCCAGATGTCCCGGTAGCTCCAGTCCTGCAGGCAGAATTGGGCAGGGATTGAGGCAGAGGCAAAAGGCTGCCCCCTTGCCTCCCAGGGAAGCAAGCCAGACCTTCCTGGAGAGCACCTGGGAGAGCTAGATGGTCATCGGAGCACCACTGCCCCTCCCAGCAACTCCCCAAACACAGGGCAACCCCCCGGCAGGCAAGAAGAAGCCCTGCCCAACAACACCCAGCAGCCTCACTGCAGCAAGGGGCACCCACAGCTGCCCAGAGGGGCAGCAAATACTCTGCGAGAGTGAGAATTGTGAGAGAAGCTGTCCAGGATGGGGGTGGATCACTGCTGGTTCCCAGGCCTGTCAGGTCCCCCTGCCAGGCCCTGTGGCAACAGCTCCAGCCCCAAAACAGGTGGAGGCTACATACCAGCAAGGGGTTCACCCGCATGTAAGGGGGCCACTCGGGGTCTGTCACACACATGGGGGTCAGGGTGCGTGAGTAAGGGTCCGTCCGCCGCGTTCCCATCAGGACAGCCTCCAGCTGTGGCTGCTGCTCCTTCAGCTGGGCCAGCGCCTCCCGGATGGAGCCCTCCACAGTGCAGAGCTGGACCCCATACCTGTGCCGGCAGGGTGGGCAGCTGTCTGCAGGCTGCAAGCAACACTGCACAGCCTCCAGGCAGCAGCCCACCTCACTCTGCCTCCTACCTCTGGACTGTTGTCTGAATGAACTGCTCCATTTCAGGGAATGGGGACACAATGCGAATGTAGAGCACCTGCAGCCTCTCCTGCCTCGCTGGGAACCGCCTGCAGAGAGACCCAGTGCAGCTGTACTCCAACTGATGGCAAGGCAGTGTCCAGATCTGACCAGCTGGACCCCAGGAATCCACTCATTCCCCTAGGGTGGAGCAAGCAAGAGCCCCAGAGCCCTGGCCAGGGTCTGCAGGACCCCTCAGCCTTGCCCCAGCCTGGAGCCCCATGCGTGGGTACCTCTGCACAGCAGCGTGTACGAGGTGCAGCAGGGCTGTGCAGTCCTTGCCCCCGTTGAAGCCCACGCAGAGCTGGACCAGGCTGTACTGGTCCAAAGCCTCCTCGATTGTTCGCAGGGCTGCTGCCACCTTCTTCCCCAGGGCCGAGCCTGCCAGGACAGGACAGTTGGTGCCTGCCCAGCTCATGTTCCCTTAGCATAGCCCCAGGGCCTAGGGCACTTCACCCTCTGGATACATCTCATATTCATACACACAGCAGAGCCATTGCTGGTACCACAGCTAACAGCTTGTTCAACCCAGAGATCTGGGCCACAATGCAACAGGGATTATGAGGGCACTGGGGAACTGTGGCACTGCAGCTGCTGCTGCACAATGTGCTCTCAGACCCTGCCACCACCAGCCCTAGCTGAGGTTACAGGTCCCATTCCCACCTGTGTGGGATGAAGCCCACTGCAGCTGCAACAGGCCTCAAGCCTCCCAGCACACCACAACAGGCAAGCTCTGCTCCCAGGCTGGTGTTCCCACTGCCCCAGCCCTGCAAGGCTGCACAGGAGAAGCATGGAAGCACAGAGCTGTGCTGCAGCATCTCCCCCCAGTACCTGACTCAGCCAGGCCATAAACCTCCACAGCTGCTGGAGAGACACAGTCTGTCACCAACGGCACCGCAACACCCGCTGGCAGCTCCTTCATCAAGAAGCAATACGCTTCCTCCAGGTCCTGCTCTGACTCCGAGTCCAGGGTCAGCTTCACACGGTAGTAATTGCTGGTCCAGTCTGGGTATGAGCCCAAGCTGACGCGGCCCCGGAAGGTGGCATCAGCCCTGTCCAGCAGCGGCGTGATGACCATCTCATCGGATGCCACGTAGATGGTGCGGGAGTGGAAGTGGGTCTGTTTGCTGTGAAAGAGGTGAGCAAGGCCATCCAGGGCACGCTCCATCAGTGCCGGGATGCCGGGGAAGATGTAGACATTGCGCACACTGACCAGCGGGTACTTGAAGGTGCTGCCGGTGTGCCTGTCTGTGCCATAGTTGAGGCGAGAGGACTCGGGGACGCGAGCCAGCTTCATCTCAGGGCACTGCACCTCCGTCTTGCCAAAGAATTCGTGCACCAGGGCCACCAGCTCGGGGTGGAGCACGACCCTCTCCCCAAAGGCCTTAGCCACGGCCTCGAAGGTCACATCATCGTGCGTGGGGCCGATGCCCCCGGAAGTCAGCACGTAGGTGAAGCGAGCAGCAAAGGCGGCCACCTCACTGGCAATGGCCTCCACGTCATCGGGGACCACGGAGATCCGGGCGACACTCACGCCGAGAGCACGCAGCCGCCGGCACATGAAGAAGGAGTTTGTATCCTGCGTGTAGCCCTGAGGGGAACGGAGGCGCCCATGACGGCGGGGCGCCCCGACCCCAGCCGCAGGCCCCAGCCCGCCCCACGCCCGCAGCCCAGGCCCACCCGCGGCCGCACCTTGAGAATCTCGTCGCCGATGACAATGATGCCGGCGGTGCTGGCGGATCCGCGGGCCGCCGCTGCGGGGCCCGAAGCGGCCATGGGGCGCCAGGCGGCGGGCCCGCGCACTCGCCCCGCAGCCCGCAGCACCCGCCACATGGGGCCGCCCGGGCACCCGCGCGCACCGCCCCGCGCGCTCACGGGCCGGCCCGCACGTCCGTCACGCGGCCCCGCCAGCTCCCATTGGCCGAGAGGCGGGACCTGCGGGGACGGAACCATCGCAGGGGCGGGCAGAGGGGGGTGCCGGTGCAGCTCCGCCTCCATGGCCGTGCCCGCTGGGCCGGGGCGCGTGCGGCCCCCGTCTCCGGTGGGCGCGGGGAGGCTCTCTCTTCCCCACCTCCCAGACCCCGGGGAGCCTCCTCGGGAAACCCCCGGGCACAGACTCCGCGGTACCGGGACCCCTTCGCCCTCCACCCACCTCCCCCGGCACTGCAGACAAATGGCTCCCAAACATCACTTTATTAAAATTTTGAAGGCATCGCAACGGGAAGGGCCTCCGGAACCCGGGCCGAGCAGTCAAAACGACGCACAGGCAGCGTCGAGGGTCACGGGGTGAAGGCCCCGAGAAATGCCGAGGAGAAGAAGGAGAAAGGTGTTGTCTCAATGTGGAAGGACTGGGAGCTTCGGCAGACCAGGGGCCACTCACTTTTCCGGCTTCTTCGGCAGTGGCCGTCGGAAGAGCAGGATGTGGGGCTCTGCGGGGCAAAAGAGGGGGTCAGGCCGGGCCCCCTGGGCGCCACCCGCTGCCCCGCGGCGCTCACCTGGCTCGTGGATCATGTAGTGGACCCAGCCCTGGCTCTGCTGCACCCCCAGGTTCCGCCACTCCGACTCCGACATCAGGTGGGTCTTGGGCACCAGCTTGGCGATGTCCTTGGGCAGCATCACGTGCCTGTAGCGCCGCACCTCTCAGTCAACACCGGGGCACCCCCGACAGCCCCTCACTCCCCAGGACGAAGATTCCCTACCGGAGAGCTGCGCCGTGACCCGATACAAAGCCCTCACCAGGCCCCCCCGCCTTACCAGGGCAATTCCCCTCTCGCTCCAGCAGGGAGCCACGACTCGCCCACCGCTGCCCTCCCCCACTCGCGAGCCGTTAGTCGCCGCTCCACCCCACCGCGGCATTTCCCTCCCTCACCGAAGCAAGCTTTAACCGACACCCCTGCATCCTTATCAAGCAGACGCTACCGGGACCCCTCCCCGCTGCGTACCGGTACTCAAACTCCTCATCGTCGTACTTGTCGGAGTAGTAGATCTGTTTGTGCGCCATGACGGGCCCGCCGCGCCCTCCCTCGGCGGCCGTTGGCGCCCCCGCCCCCCGCGCGGCGCTTTCAAACGCCGCCGCCCCGCGCGCCCATTGGCCAGCGCCGCGCCGGGGGGGGCGGGGCGGGGCGGCCGCCCATTGGCCGGCGCGCGCGCGACACGGCGGGGCCGCGGCGCCGCTTCCCGCGGGGCCGGGCGCGGGCCGCGATTGGCCGTCGCGGGTCACGTGGCGCGGGCGCGGCGGGGCCACGCCGGAGGGGCGCGGGCCGGAAGTGAGTGGCGGCGGGGGCGGCGGGAGAGGGGGCGCGCGGGAGCGGCGGGAGCGGCGGCGCGAGGCCCGCGCGTGACCGATGGTGCCCGGTGAGCGCGCGCCGGCCGGGGCGGTGAGGGCGCGCGCGGATGGCGGAGGGGGGACCCGCGCCGGGCCCGGGAGCCCCGGCCAGGCCCCGCGGTGCCCCCGCGGCCGCAGTGTCGCTGGACTGAGGCCACATCGCTCGCCGCCGCCGCCGCCTTCCGCGGAAACGAGTGGGGGTTCTGCCGCCGCCGCTCCCAGTGCTGTGAGGGCCGAGTCGCCCTTCCTAGCTGCCTCGTTTGCCCTGCGTGAGGGAGCCTGGCCGTGGGGCAGGCCCGGAGCCTCCTGCATGCCGCCCGACGGGGGTTGGAGGAGCCGGTGTCGTGCTGTGCTGAGGTTCCGGGGTGACCCACCCGACGTGGCGGCCGGCTGCGTGTGCCTGGGGCTCAGGCTTGCGTTCCCCACCCCGTGCTGGTGCGAGACACGGGACGGACACCGGCTGTAGAGGTGCTGCAGGGTCTAGGGAGAACCCCGAGCCCCAAGACTGGCATGACCTCCGGCAGGAACGGGACAGCGGCTGGGTTTGGAGGGTTCCTCGCCCTCTGCGGGGCTGGGCTCTGCCCTCCTGCCTTTCGTACGTCAAAGTAAGGCAGCACTGAGTACCTGGAGCTTACTCAGCTGTTGTGGAAAGGGGTAGCTGCTCCCCCTTGGAGATCTGTGTCTGCTCTCCAGCAGTGTTGTGTCCATCTGTTCTTGCTTCTCCCCTCGAATCTCTTAAATGGGGTCACCCACACAGATTATAGACCACGGACATGGCTTCCAAGGAAATGTGACCTGGGCCCTGCTTGCCACGTTGGCGCTACAGAAGTCTATGGGCAAAGGGCACTGCTTTGTGGTGCTTGCCAGGGCTGCCCTGGTGTCAGCCTGTAACAGAAGGGCTGAAGATGCCATCTCCTCTCAGCCAAGGAGGGCTTCAGGATCCACCTGCTGCCTTTTGGTGGGGGAATGCCTTGACTGGGCACCCTGTGAAGCTGTGCATAGCAGTGTTCCATCCTCAGGAGGGACACAAATGGGCTGTGGTAAGGCTGAGCACCCTGGCTCTGGGTGATGATGCTCCTTCCCTGGCACCATCCTCGGTGCCCGATGTCCAAAGGATGTGGTCGCCACCTCTGCTTGGCGGTGGCGTGGTACTGCAAGGGTCAATCTCCACTGCCATGGCCAAGCATAGCTCTCCTTTATCTTGCTGCCTTCCAAGCTACTGGCGACAGCTGGCACAGGCTGCAGATAAAGGTACAATTGCTGCCAAGCAGTAAATCATGTCTGCTGCCCTTCACTGCTCCACCAGCCTGGCCTTGACTGCCTCACTAGGCAATGGCAGTGGGAGTCAGAAGAGTGAGAAAAGTGCTTTGCTTGCCTTGTTTTCCCCTTGCAGAGCTTCCTGCCTCTGCCAGCTCACCACTTGTAGAGTCTTTCCACGACTCCTGTCTTCACCAGTTCCCCTGGGAGGAAGGGACACAGCCCTGGGGGCTCTGTCTATAATTTTGCATCAGGATGCCAGCTGAGGGGATGGAGGAGGGGGCAGTTCTGCCCCTCTGGTTGCTTTTGCTCTCCATCCTTGCATGTGGCTTTCCAGTACTGGTTTTTAGGCTGGGCAAGGATCGGTTTCAGCACTTTTCTTGGGTCACAGAGTGACTCTAGGCCCACAATGCCATTTGCCAGTGTAAGCAGGGCTCAACCTCTTCTTCCTGTCCCAGCGCATTCCAGCTCCATCTTATTTCCAATGGGAAGAAGGCAGCTTCCAGGTTTCTCTTACTCTTTGTGCCAGCAGCAGGTTGCATGGCAGCCACAGCCCCATCCACCTGTGGACAGCATGGAGGAGCAGGGTCTGCCTCTTGGCACCGTGGCCCCCACCCACCTCAGCGGGCTGGGACAGGGCTGGCTAACTCCCTGTTTGTCCCCGAACCGCAGGTCGGAGTGCCAGACGAGAGGGGCTGTGTGTCTCTGCTCCCTGCCCAGGGCCTGCCCTGCCCTCCGCCGGCGATGGAGTATGTGGTAAGGACTTCGGTGGAGGGCTAAGTGGCTTCGGTGGTGGATCCTGCCTGCCTCCTCTGCCTTCTGGGAGGTCTCCAGCCTCTTCCCCAGATCTCCACTGGTATCTCCTAACCCCCTCTTCAGAACGAAGGAGAGGTTGTGTGCAGGAATGCGTAAATGTTGTTCGATGCTGCTGTGATGTGTGAGGGAAAAATCAGCTATTGGCTGGATTTGAGTGTTCTCCTTTGCTTTACCCCTGCCTCAGAGGTTCAGCATTGACTGCAGTTGGGCAGAGGGGGTCTCCTGCCCAGGGCGAGGTCTGTATGTGTAGCCATCTGCACCTTGCTGCAATTTCTTGCCAAACCACTAGTATTTTCCAGGCCTCTGGCTCCCAGGTTTTTTCCAGGGAGGATGTTGGTAGTGGAGCCCTGAGCATCCCCACTCTGCTTCTCTTCCTTGCCCTGGCTGATGTGTGAAGTCCCACTCTCAGGTGCCTGAAAGTAGTCCACATCCTTCTGTTTCTCATGATCCATTGTCTTTCTGTGGTGGCAGGGCACATGGAGCAGCTGGGCCAGGATATGTCCCCAGAGCCCCTTGGGGGCAGTTGTTCCAGCTGCTCTGGTCATCCTCTGCTGCAGGGGCAGGAGCTCCTGGCATCTGCGTGGCAAAGGGAAGGGCTGCAGCCTGTGGGATGGGGCTTGGGACTGCCTGTTCAGGCAGGGCTGGTGTTCTGTGTCTTCACATATTTCCAGGTTTGCCTTTTGCACTCGGAGCCCACTGGGAGGGAGCTCTGATGCCCTGGGGTGGACTCTGGGGTTGAGGGAGCTGTGATGGTAGCACCTCTGGTCTCCAAGGCCTGGGAGCTGCAATGCGTCTTGTAACAGGCTGTTGAGTGATGTGGGCAGACTGGCCTCGAAGGTTCTGAGAAAATCAGGAATGACTCTAGCTTATAAAAGCAGAGATGCGTCTGAGCAGGAGCTTCAGCTGGGGAGCTTATCAGCCCTTTTCTGCCTGTAGGTGATGGCTGCTCCAAGCCCTGGGGTGGTGGAAAGGGGCCAAGGAGACACTCCTGCCCCCTTGCAATTCCATTCTGCTCTTATCCTGGGGGAGCATCAGGGCTCACAGAGCTGCCGTGCCAAGCAAACCTAGGCCCACATCAAGCAGTGGCCAGGCCATCACGGGCAAACCCCACTGCTCCACGGCCACTTGATACTGCCCAGCCAGCTTCCCCTGGCAACAGGGCTGCACTGGCCCCTCACTGGGCCAGCAACTTCCTGGCTCCGGGCTTCCTGCTTTTCTTTAGAGGAGTGGTGCTGCGGCCACAGGAAGGTCACAGCACTGAACAGCCGGGGGCCCCTGGAGGGGACAAGCACTTTGTGGAACAGCCAGCACAGCTCTCTGCCTGTGGGACCACCATGGCTGAGCTGGGGGGCTGGCTTTCACAGAGCTAGTGTGCATGGCCAAGGAGGTACATCAGTGACTGGCCCACTCGCGTGTGCTGCTGCCCCTCGCATCATGTAGGTGCAATTTCCAGCCCTGTTCTGGCTTTCCTTTCCCTGTCCCCATGGCAGTGTGCCAGGCTTTGTGAAGTGGGGCAGGCAGCTGCTAGTGCCAAGCAGTGCTCCAAGCAGGGAGAGCCTTTTCCTTGGCCTGGATTTACCCAGTTTTGGTTTGGTGGACAGAGCACCTGGTGGTTGGTAAGACTCTGGCTTGTGATGCATCAGGGGTTGGGTTCTGTCTGAACTCCTTGCTTCATCCTATAGGTGGTAAAGGGGGGAGAGCTCTTGTCCCTCAGTGGGACCATAGTGGAGTGGGGAGAGCTCTTGTCCCTCAGTGGGGCCAAGGCTGTGGAGGGCAGGACAGTCGGGTTGGCCCAAGTTCCTGCTGCATGCAAGTGCCTTGAGGAAAGGGGAACAGGGGAGACCTGCCCTGAGCCCCCTGATCCACAGGTGGGAGTGTCACACAGCTCCCCGAGGCTGCAGGGGCCAACTTTGCCCCCAGCACGTTCTTGCCGCCCGCTCCCGCTAGCTCCGCCTGTGACCTTGATTTTTCTGCTCCAGATAAGCACTGCGTCCCCACCCCTCGCCGGGAGCCCCTCCTGCGCTGCGCCCCAGCCCCAGCGCAGCCCGCGCCGCGGGCAGAGCCTGCCCCGCCGCCTGTGAGTCAGCACAGCTCTTCCGATCAGCCGCAGCCCCTTCATCTTTTCTCCCGGGAGGAACAGCTGGGATGCGGGAAGCAGCAGCGATTATCTGCAGCCTCTCCCACAGGCTCCCCACCACGACTGGGGGATTGTGCTGAGCCCTGCCTTGCCCAGCGCGCAGCCTACCTGTATCCTGCTCCTGGCCGTCCTCCTCTTTCTCCCACCAGCCCTCCAGGCAAGATCTGTGCTCTCAAAGGACTGCATGTCCCTGTATTCCAGGAAGCTGCGAGCACCGGTGTCATCTCAGCATCGCTGCTCCCCCCAGCAGAGCCCAGCAAGCCAACAGCAGCTGCTCCCCGCCGACACGTGGGTTGCGTGGCGCTGGCTGCCACAGAAGGACCTTGTTCCCTCCTGGACAGTGCTCGGAGCAGGGCTGGGATGGGCTTGGATGCGCTCTGTGTCTGCCTCATCTCCGGGCTTTAAATATTCATGCTTTTGATTTTCTCTTAGCGGGCAGTGGCACAGGGGCTGGAGCGAGCTGTGGGGCGGAGGGTGGCCGTGCTGAACCCTGCTGCA